AGAGTGGCATATGACATTTAACCCCAGGGGGAGTATGTGTTGTGTGTGTGTATATATATAACTTAGCCCCTTAAGGACACATGACATGTGTGACATGTCATGATTCCATTTTATTCCAGAAATTTGGGGCGGAGTATTTGGAGAGAAGGGTGGGCCAGTGCTCCACTCCACTGTTTATTGTTTTTCTTGGGAGACTTAACTCCAGGCCAGGGTTTTTGACTGGCTCCAACCCACTGCTCAGCTGCAGGTAATCAGCTGCAGCAGTGGGAATAAACCCCTCCCTGCTAGGCAGGTAAGGTGAATGTAACGGAACTCCCCGTACTCCGACCGAGTACCTTCCATTGATGGACGCTTCCTAACTTGGCCGAGGACCACAAGCACCGCACCGGACACCACAACCACCGCACACTCCACAACCACCGTAGCTTAACTGGAGTCTCGCTGTCTTCCTTCCACCCTGGATCAGCTTCTGTCCTCCAGGACCATGTGGTAAAGACCTCTCCTCCAGGAGAGCGTATCAGGAACAAGCTCTTAAAAGAGCTAAGTGATTAGAGCTCAGGGGAGTATACAAAGTATAACAATCCCCAGTGTGAATATAGCTGTCCCCTCCAATCACGAGACAATACTACGTGTTGAGGGTCAAGAAGAACTGAGGATTTTAATCAAACACTCTGCTTTTATGCCCATTTTCCACACATAGGACCACCCACAGGGTTTGAAGAACAACCAATCAATACGTACAATACACTCAGACGCTCCCAGCAATTACAGCAAAATCCTCCCCTCTGCCTGTGATACAATTATCTCCACACAATAGACTAACTTAATTATTACAGGCAGAAAATATAATTTTTACACAATATTAATAACTTTCAAAATATGCATCACATTCACATACATTTTCAGAATCAGCATACTTTAAATATGAACATAACCAAAAAACAGACAATTCCACCCAGTAGTTCAAAAGTTAGCTGGAAGTCTTTTATGACCGACCGCAAGTACATTTTCATGCCCAAAACAGTTCCATTGATTTGGGCTGTGCGGTCGGTCTATTTTACATAGAAAAATGACTAAGTCCCATTTGAATGCACAAACGGGGCCGTTCGTGCATTTGGCTCAGTATAACAGTGAGTTCAAACAGCCCAACGGTGCTTAGTCTCTGTAGCTGAAAACTGAGTGGAGGAGAAGGTAAGGGTCAGCGGTGTTCGTTGAAATGTATACCCGATTTGGCTACACATACCGCTGATCTCGTTTGAATGAACAAAGATGGCCACCACCACATGTTCGTTTGCACGAACTGCGGCCATGCACACGTCATTTTCATAGTCTGGGGACTCTGGGGACACCGTCTTAAAGGGGCATTGTTACGATTTTCACCATGCCCCAAAATTGTTCTTAAAGGACCAGCACCAGTCCCATAAAAGTCCATAAGCCCCAATACAGCTTCTTAAAGGGCCATACACAGTCCAATACAAGTCTATAGGCCCAAATAGCATTTTTAAAGAGCCATACACCCCAGGGCCATAGTCACAGGGGAGGAGGCTGGCAAGCAGGCCTCTCCAGGACCAACTGGCGAAGGGCACTTCATCACAATGAGATTTTTGTTTCTCCCTTGGATGTCTGGAAGCAACAGGCTGACTGAGCACTGGAGTGCAGAGAGTTGACAAGACACTAGGTTGGTGAAACCTGTATTGTTTTTGTTCTAGTTTAATCCATGAGAGATAGGGAATTAGATGTTAGTAAGCACTCAGACGAGCTAGGATTTTATTTGCAGGGATTTCTGTTATATTATTATTTCTTTCATTTGCTGCTCTCTCCTGGTGAATTTCAACAATAAAGTGCTTAGATTTATGCAAAAGACTGTGCATGTTTGTACCCAAGAGGACCGTGCTGATTGCTATAAAGGATCACACTGGTTTCTGGTTACTAATCATTTTGAATCCTTTTATTCACTATTTCCTTCACTTAAGTGTTAATTTAGGTAACTTCACTATATTTCAAGCTTATTTTTCAATTTAGAGTGCTATAATCTCAACATAATGTCAATTAACTTCACTTGCATTTCATTTTACCCTATCTTACAACTTTGTTCTAAGCTTGAAATCATACATAATGAAGGTTTATAAAAACAAGTAATAAACATCCATTACAGATATTTTTTAAAAAAAGTTACTTTTAGTACAGACAGGGCTGCCATCAGAAATGTTGGGGCCCCTGACACAGCTCAAGGTCTGGGCCCCACGGTGCCTGCACCCGAGTCCGCCCAAAGTGCTGCCCCGCCCTCCGAATCCGCCCACTGGGATGCAGTGTCTGCAGGGCCCTAGGCAAAAGTAAAGTTTGCCGCCCCCCCATGTGACATCACAATGCCCCACCCATATGATCTGCCATGTTAACTAATACCAGTGCTGCAGTGCCGCCGTGTTTACATTAAAAGGCCTGCAGGGACAGGCTAGACACCAGAACCACTACATTAAGCTGCAGTGGTACTGGGGACTATAGTGTCCCTTTAATGTGAGGTAAATTAGAGA